CGCCGCCTCGGCGGCTGGTTTTCTCCGGCCGGAAGGCCAACAGAGAGCAGCTCATTTTCCATCTTCCCCATTTTCAGTTCAGAAAACTAGCTACCGTACGCCGAGCCCCATATTGGCGGCTGCTGTTAAGGAACGGAAGGCGGGTGCGGTGACGGAGTCAGCGTCAAAGCCGGTGAGAATAGTAGCCCTCGTCGGCCAAGGTACCCTCAGCCCTCTTAAAGGCACACCTTGGGAAGAGGTCATGCTCCACACTGTAAGTAAAACCCAAATTTTTAGTTGCTTCACTTTGTTGTTGGTTTTCTCCTTCTTGTCATTTTTGTTTTTGGTATAATTTTTGAACAAATTTCTTGAATCACAACTTAATCTCAGTTTTTCTCCCTATTTAAGCAAACATGACATAATCGTGGAGTTACAAGATTTGCAGGCATAGGAATTTGAAAATATTTGGGAGGAGATATTATTATAAAAATGGTGCTAGTTTGCTTTTGGATTTTTTGTGTAGTTAATGGTTTGCCATTGAGTCTAAGCCTCCTACTCAGATAAAATGATGGGGGGGTTCGTCTGAGGAGGCGATGTGCACAGTGATCTTTACTAGCTGAAACAAACCCATGTGATATAAAACACTGAAAATGTGCTTTCATAATTCACACTTTCGTGATCACGCACTCTATATTCTTAGTACCCCTTTCGTTTTAGCAGCTTTTGCCTTTAGATTGTGGTTTTTGGCCGTTTCTAACTGAATGAACTCCAATTTTCCTATTAGTCAGTTTATGTTGTGCTTTTTCAAGTTTAGAATTGCAATATTTTCTTGTGCTACCTCTCTGGCTATCTGAAAAGCACGGTTCTTTTGTACTTTCCTTGATACACTTTTCTATAAACAGGCAAAAAGACTGAAATGGGTGGACGAAGCATATGAAATGCTTGTTTTTACCGATGATATCTGCCAATCTGGTAATGAAAATGCTGTAAATTTCATGAGGGAATTACGACGTGCGGATATTCTAGTGATTGTTTCTATTACGAATCAAGAATCAGTTAATTGGATTCAAACTAAAAGTGAGAATGTTGGAAACATAATCTGCTTTGACTCATCTCCCAATTTGTCAAACAAATTAGGAGGATCTTATATTCACAAGGAAACCAAGGGACATATATTTGGCAAAATCTTTGATACTTCTCAATCAAAGGACAGTGAATCAGTGGAAGTGGTCCAGACTGTGTCACAGGCATGGGACAGGCATAATACGGATGATATAAGGTTTTGTTTATTAGTCGTAATCAATGCTTATATAAGGCCTGTCCCGATCCTGAAGAATCTAAGATCAAAAGGTCTTTCTACCCTGAGCTGCATGGTGAAGAACTGCGGGCCTCAGATACTAAACTGCCTCTTGGATCCCAATTGTCGGAAAGCTCTTCAATGCTTGAATCAATGCAGTCCAGTAGATCAAGTGTGTAACTATCGGTGCATTGCTTCATATGAGAGTCCAAATCTTGAAGCCTTTTCTCTGTGTGTGTTGCAGAAGAACAATTGTCTTGGGTTGGATGCCAAGATCCCTGACAAACCTTATGTGCCACCCATGGTTAAGTTTCAAGGAAAGGACATGTGCCATGAAACTGCTGAAGATCTATTTGTTGGTTGGTTGGGGAGTTTGAATTGGAGTTGGCGTGTTGTGGCAGGGCAGAACCCAGCTTATGATCAATTTCCTTGCCAGTACCAGCTCTTTTACAGGGGGAAGGCGAGAGGATCATTTTGGTATGAGCCAGTTTTTCAGGTGAGAACATTGGAGGGGAAGATGGTCTGGAGGAGGCGAAAGTATCGAGTCAAGAGAAGTAAAATCCCAGGGACATTCAACTTCAGTGTCTTGGACAATGGGGTTGTTTCAAATGAGTTTTGGACAGTTGTGGACGTCCCTGATGATCTTAGTTGGGGTTTGTTTTATTATAGTGGTGCTGCTCGAGCTGCAGGACAATGCTATACCGGCGCTGTGCTCGTCAGTCCAAATGGGGCATACCCGAACGATGTGCATAAGGGGAGGTTAGCTGCTGCTTTAGAGAAGTGCGGAATTAAAGACTGGGAGCTCTATACAGTTAATAATTCTTCATGTTTAAATCCTCCATTGGGAATTCCCGAGGGCTCAAGATTGCATTCAGTGATACAAGTTAAAAATCAGAAAGGGATATCCATGGTGGGTTTGGCGGATGCTTGAACCTCAAAATACCCTATTGACAAAAAAAAAAGAGAACTTCAAAATACCCTTGTGCATGGAGGAGTCAGAGACTCGCAAATGAAGCCCAAGGTTATCATTATCTTAACTTCAGCTGAATTAAGCTCAATTTTATGTATTAACACTTTGTAAAGCTGTCTTTGTTATTATAGTGTAGAAGACAACGTAAATTGAGTATTATTTGTATGTATTTGTAAATTGAGTATTACTGCAATGAAATTCACTTGTACGATATATATTTTTCGATACAAAAAAAAAAAGGAAGAAGCGATATTCGTTCTAGATATGTTAAACCAACAGCATTTATTTCAATTTTAAAAAACAAAAAAGAAAAACTTTTTTCTTATACAAGCTATTTCATTTTTAATCCACAGGTTGACAAAAAATAAGAATGAATCGTTGGAGCCAAAGTCCCAGAGTGGGTTAAGTTATACGTATTTTTGTATGTTTTGATTTTGAGAATGTTGGATCTTCATCTCAATAACCCAACTTCACAAGGCCCCAATGCCTGCCAGAATGCTGCAATTTTTTCTTCTTTTTCTTTTTAACTGGAAATTCTGTAGACCTATGAGTGATGAAGGACTTGCAAGCTTTGATAAATTAAACGAGAAAGAAACTCCGCTGGGTCTTATCACACGGTTTGCGCTGGTTGGAATTAACCTGATGATTTAGAAAACCTCAGCTGCAAGTGCATGACACAAGAATTTGGCCTTGTATAAAATGATGACATACAATGACAAAGAGGATAACTCCGGTAAAACTGAAAGTCGATGGAGTCTCTCAGACAACAACAATTCAAGTCTGGAACCAATTCCAAGCTGAAATGCCAATCTCAAAACCGATTAAATGAATCCAAATACAGACCTGGTTTAGAAACTCACATAGTTTGACTTTTATCCACATGAACTGCACCTGCCAACTACTTTACATTGCCCTTAAAGTTGCACATGGCGGTCCATATCTGAGAGAATAAGTGCTTTGTTACTTCCGGTTTGAGAACTCAGCATCAAACTCCTTCTGAAACTGTTTACCAGATTTGGTTTTGGCTGCCAACACAACATCATCAAGAAATCCCCTTTGTGGAAATTCTTCAGGTGCAAGAGCTCGATATGTTTCAAACTGTTCTGCAGCTTCCTTCTTTTGATCCAGTAGACTGTAGATAATTCCCTGCCACATATTGATACTATTTAGTAAATCGTTGTCAATCCAGTACCCTTTATTTTCCTTTCTGTTCAACAACCATTAGTTCTATGCAATTGGTGAGCAACAAGCTTCATGAGAGAACACTTGGGGTTTTTTTTCTGTGTCTTTTTTGGTTTAGGAACTTGAGCAGAAAACAATTCTACAATTCAAGTGACTGCACACTGCACTTTTGAAGCTTATTGTGAGTTGTAACACACCTATTCGGTTCATGCAAAAAGGTAATTAAATATCTGACTACTTGAGGATTCAAGTTGCAATACATGATATTCTTGGAAAAAAAACCACCTTACCAGAAAGCAAAAGAATTCATCTTTGACAATCCAACAGAATAATTCCTCAAATTTGTAAATAAAATATTTATATAAAAATAAGTATGACTTGTCTCTGGTTGGAACTTCTATGTTCTAGTGGACTCTTCTCTTGAGGAAAGACTTTAAATGAGACATGGGGGGAGTAACGTTGTTAAGCTGATGTTTTCATTCTTGATTCTGAAATGAGAACATGTTATCTAAACTTGTAACAAACTTTGGTAGCGTTTGGTGCGAGTGGAGTGCCTCACTAGAAAGCACTCATTGATCCTGCGACCTAATGTATTGTCTTAACTATTGTAGTGCAGACACAAATATAAGGTGCTCCATTTCACCTACCTAGGTGGCAGACTATTTCAGCTAGAGTAACAAACACCATTTCACCTACCTAGGTGGCAGACTGTTTCAGCTAGAGTAACAAACATGAAAATTATAAGTGGATGAAACCCGATAGCTATCAGCCACAAAGAGAGAGAAGATTTCATATGAGAAATAATTTGTTTTTTTGATTTACCACTATTACTAAAAGTTTAAGTCATAGGTTGTGGGCTCAACTACTGTTTGATAGTAATATTTTTCCTCACATGTCTGACTCTCTCTACCCCCATATAGAGCCCAACACGTAAAATTCAACATAAATTGGGAGGTTGTAGTTGCAGGGATATGAACTTAGGGTCCTTTGATACCATGGCAAATTCTTTTGACTTCCCATTGTCATTAAAAGCTGAAGTTAAGATTTTACTTTTATTTATTTGGGACCGAAAGTTGTTAGGATCTCAGTCAAATATTCTTCTAAGCAAAGCCAAAGAAAAACCAGCAGCAGCAGCAGCAGCAAGTAAAATAACATGAGCAAACTAACCTGGCATAGATAAGGTCGAAAATCTCGAGGATCCGCTTTGACCAAATCTTGAAATTTATTCAAGCCTTCTTCCAATTCTCCCTAGAAGGCATAAATATATAAATATGCTGTCACATGAAAAGACCATAGTTGTTCTGATTCTCATTGACCTTAGGTGGCAACAGATTAAGATTCATTTTCTATATACAAGGAATTCAATTTGAACAAAAAGTTTCTGCTCTTGAATACAGTTTAAGAACTTTAAAGAGTGATATTTTTATAGATACCAGTTCGTGATTTTAGAAAATGAGAGGTTGGACTGATTGTTACCTTCACAACATGCATCTGTGCAATCAGAATTCTTATATTCCTCTCCTCAATGACTCTTTTTTCCCGCTGTGCAATTTCTAAAGCCTTATTAAGCATCACAAAAACAGCTGGACCTTCATGATTTTTGTGCATAACCAATGCCAGACCCTGAGAAAAGAAGAGATCTGTAAGATTTAAGTTTCTCAAGCAAAGATGCATAAGGTGTCAATAGACATAAAAAAAAAAAAAAAAAAAAAAAAAAAAAAAAAGATGCTTGGCATACTCAATTCTCACCAAGTACAATGCTTTACTTTGAACCAAAACCGTGAATCTGTGATGAGACAGAACGAGAATATAAACTTAACAAGAAACAGGCAGAGAAGAAAGTGTGTCAAATGCAATCATAAGAGTTGTTTTCTAGCTAATACTTAAATTTAAATTAAAAACAAAATATTAGGAACTACCAATAGAAAGTAATTTACATGCAATTTTTATCTCCAAAAGACACAGACTTTGTAATAGGGTATATGCTGCGGAGAAACCAAATATAAACACCCCCCCCTCAGCAAATTCAAAGTTTGATAATCCACAATCAATTTTGATTTATAATGGCTACGTCAGTATATACTATCACACCACCACACACAAGCATATAAAACAGCATCTAGTAGCAAAGATTGTAACAATAATAAATCTTCAAAAGGGAACAAGCCCCAGAAGCATACATGCAAAGCTCTGAGCAAAAGAGGCCTCTCCTCCAAGATTTCCTGAAACAATCTTTTAGCAGTACTCAGTTGCCCCATGATCTCATAACAAAGCGCCATCAAAAGCCTCCACTCGACCTCATCTGGCTCCACATCAATCAACTTCTCCACATAATTCACAGCCTGTTTTGTGTTACCTCTCCTCATTGCCCCATACAAAACCACCTTCAAAGCCCCAACATTTGTTGGGTCCTCCTCCAAAATCTTCTCATACATTTCCTCATCCTCACTTTTCCCTTTCTGGGTCTCTCTCTTCTCCTCAAAGTTTGCACTGGAACTGCTTGTTTGAGCAGGCAGTGCTACAGCTGCTCTTACATTGAAGCATCCAAAAAAGAAAACTGACCCTATAACAAAACCCACTATTTTTTCAATAAAAAATCTTGATAAATTTTTATTGGGTTGGAAAGCAGAGTAACTATGTGAAAGTTTAGAGAAGGGTAAGGTGAGAGAGGTTAAGTGAGAGGAGAGTCTGCGGAGGTTCGAGTTCGAGGAACTTCTGGAGGAGAGGAATTTGAATGGAAGTGTAAGCGGCTTTTGAATATAATGAGAATTGAGGAATGAGGGTTTGATAGACTTGCAGCTGAGAGTATGGGGCAAAATTTTGGTATGGGTCGGTTGAAGAGAACAAGCTGCCAACGAACCCATCTTTAGAGATGAATTCAACTGTTTAGGAAGGAGACCATAATATTTTGTGTAAACCCCCTTCCACAATTATTTGTACTAAAAGTATAAATAAATAAATATATAAAAGGTTACACATGTTGTGATTTGAAATAGGACAATGACACAAAATATGACGTAGATTAGCTAAAGCATCTACAATGTAAGCAGAGGGTTAGGCCAGTTGGCCAGGATTTTGAACAAAATTTTAGTTTTTTGTTGTTGTATTTGGGAGTCCAGAAATTATTGTATCTTTTGACATATACGCGATCATCCAATAATTTTTTGAAAGTTGTTGCTTGCGCTTGTGCTGAGCTCTGGAGTACTAATTTTTCTACAACAACTTCAAGATGCTCTCAGGCCATCTCCACTCATGCAATGGGGATATCACTTTTTTGCTATCCCCAACTAATAATATAATGACACATGGAATAACTTTTCCACACGTCATTGTGTTATTAGCTGGGGATAGCAAAATAGCGTTATCCCCATTATAAGAGTAAGTTTTTTTCCCAGTCATGAGGGCTAAATTTAGCCCTCTAAAATATTAATTTTTTAAAGAATAGTGTAGGGCTAAATTTTTGTATCTCTAGCCATGCAAGGTTATATTTTAGGGCCCTCCATATTTTATTATTTTGAGAAAACTATGGTACAACACTCATACATTCCACTACTATGCATTGTTCAAATTAATTAAACTACTATTTAGAGACAATATTCCACTACTATGCATTTTCATAAAATTTTAATTGAAAATTTAAAGGTTACAACAACTTAAAAATTAAAGACAACAACACTTAAAATTAAAGACAACAAAAAAAGTGTGGAAAGTTGTGAAAAAGTAGAGACTATGATCAAATTTATAAGAAATGTAGAATGAAATGAGTGTGAAAATTTTTGAAGAAATTTGGAGATATTTATAGACATATTTTATGTTTTACTTTTTAAAAGTCAACAATGGCTATTCTTGAAAAAATTGATGCACTTTCAAAAAGGTTCTGACCTCGAATAGGCAGAACCAATTCTATATATTTTTTTTAAAGTCAACATTAAATAATATGCAATTGGAATGTAAAAATGCGGATGGAAGGTAAAATTTTTTGTGTTTGGCAAATTTGTTTGCAATTGGAAAAAAGGAAGCAATTGAGATACTACATTGATAGTTTGAGAAGACAAGCAACAAATAGCAATCAAGCCTCTATCATAAACAAGACCATTGAAATTCGGGTTGGGCAATCAGACCGAGAACTCGAAAAATCGGCCGAACCAAACTGATTGGGTTGGTTTGGTCTAATTTTTTAAAACTATTTTATTTAATTTTGGTTTCAACCCAAACCAAACTAGTTGGTCCGGTCCGATTTATGATTTGAAGTTTTGAGTTTGACTGGTTTACCCAAACCAAACCGACCATATCATAATGCTAAAATATTGCAAAAATATTGTACCATGGAGAGTTTCAAACCCCTCCCTACGTCAAGGGAAGAGTGGGCATTTCAATGTGGTACTAATTACTTTTATTGAGTAATAATGGTATTTAATAGCTTTTTGTTGGAATTAAAAAATAATATAAAATTGCTAGGGTTTTAATGAGAGTACGCCACTTCTTCTTCTCTCTATCTCCCTTCCTTCTTTCTTCTTCCTCCCTTTATGATATTTGATGTGCACTGCCCAAGAAAACATTTTTTTTTT